GTACCCAGACCTAGGATAACTCGTGATACCACAAGCTGAGCAAAGGAAAAAGAACTCGCCATGAGGACAGCCCCGATCATTTGTATCACTGAAGCGAGTATGAGAGTTCGTCGACGTCCGAGCAAATCTCCCACCGCAATGCAGGCGATGGCTCCCAAGAAACCACCTACTGCATACAAGGCCACCACAGTACCCCGTAGAGTGGATTTGTAGTGCTTTTCTGAAGGTTGGGCGTTGCTCACGTCCATTTGAGGGAATTGGGCCTCGAACCAGGGTAGGGTGAGGACTCCTCCTAGTAATCCTTGGTTATAACCCATTGAGATGATTGCAGGCATGACCACGCCAATCAGTGCTACATGGTTGAGGCGACTGCCCCGGAGGCCAAAAAAACGTGCCATATAGCGTGTATAAGGAAGGGTTGGAATAAAGTTGTGCCAGGATGGTTCAATATCAACCTAGAGGTCTTTTGTGGGTGCACATTTTGGAATTAATCAGACATCCCACAATTGTGTTGCGTGGATTTGATCCTTGCATATTTGTTGTTTTATTGCATTCCAATCTCGGGCTCAGCTCAGCCTCACAAAATGGTTTTATGAGTTAAGCAAGATGTCGATCAGCAAAGATATTTTAAGTTCCACATAAAGATGACCTATGAATGAGATATCGGCAAGGGGTACAACATATTGTTTGTTGAACTCCAGTACAAATCAATATCAGTGTAACACCCAAGCTACATACATATGGAGGGACTGAAATGTTTTATATGAATACGGTGTCTCAGTGTGGGTTGCATTCTCTATGTAAATGATGGTGTGGAAGCATATATATGCCAGGGCTACGAAGCAATTAATCAAGAGAGTGATCTAGCAAAAGATCTAATGAAGAATCACCAACAGTGTCTACCCGTAGTTCGCCATGTGGCTCAGGGTCGTCCAAGTGATTCCAGGTATTGGGACCAAGGGCCGACGAGGCACGCGATCTATGCTACGCTTGTGTATAGTGTTTCTAGAAGATGGGGTTGTCGATAATATTAAATACTTCACTGGCCTCGGGTAGATTGTTCAAGGAGTACATTTCAGGGTCGAAGCCACGACCTCGTTGGGCCATAGCATAAATGTTGACAGTTGGCTCTCATTCAGGGAACCGATAAGCGTATTGACTTTGAGTATCTCTCTTTCAAAGGCGCCCCTCAGAAACCATGTATCCAGTAGAGTACTTGCCAAATAAAAATGTGCCAAAATGACGAGTGAGTGTCCACGAAGGTAATTAGGTTCGCCTCTCTCAAGCGACGCCAAGAATGGACTTGGAAGCTGGGTCGGCCAGGCCAAAATCGCCGCCTCTTCAAAATCCAACTGGATTTCCGTGTCAGCAGGATTATCGGTTGCCTCACACCGCAATATAGAGAGAATGCGTGTATATAACGTATCCAGGATGTCCATGGTCTCAGAGTGCGCGTCCACAACGGAGTCTATCGTGGAAGACTCTGAAAGGAGAGATGTTGGCGTACCCGAGCAGCTGGATAAGCGATCCCTGGCGGGTTCGAGCGCACGCAAAGAAGCCTTGATGTTTGCGACTGCTTGGCTGGCACCTTCGGCAAATTTAACTAGGCGAGGCGAGCAACGAGAAAGTCGAGACGGTGGTGGAGCGAACGGTAAATCCTTCCAACACTCGTCGTGCTGTGAGAATACCAGCATCTGCCGGAGCCGACTGCTTTTTAACACGTCCCATTGCTCGTGTAGAATACTGGTTACCCCTCTGTTAAGGTATAACCAGTTGAAACGTAAAACGTCATTTGCAGAAGAGAAGGTTCCCGTGGGATTATTCATCTCTTCGAGGGTCCTATCAAGCGGATTGAGCTCCTGAACCATGAGAGATGCAAAGGCAAACGCAACGAGAAGCACAGAACCAGTAAGAAGAGCCTCAGCGTTGGAGGGAGAAATGGAGGACACCTTTTCCCTAAAACCTTCCAGTCCTATTTGATGATGTTCCATGACTATTGCCAAGTCCACCGTGTCCAAGTCTTCGGAGCCACTAGTCCTGTTGGCCTCATGCTGGGTAATCATGTGGATGCCTCCTAGTGCTAAGAGCAGGTGCATCAAATACCGATGGTTGCATGCAATTTCCGGGATGATTCGCTGCCAGACTATAGTCCTCCTCGGGTGCGGTGACATTTGTTTCGCAGTGTAGGAATTGAAAAATTGAAGGAGTTTCAAATCATTCATTGGCAAGTCCACACGCGTGTGGCTATGATGGCTCGAGAAAATCGCTGGTAAAGTCGCGTCGAGTGGAGGAGCTCTATCTGATGGACCGAATGCATCAGACCAAGGAGCGCCATATTTGTTCACTGTCGCCTTTCCCTTAGATCTGGGGGGTCTCCCCGAAGGGACGTGCGGTAGGGGGTAAGAGCAAGGTTCGCCTCTGGAAGCGCATGTGCCGCAGGCGGGTTGAAGTTCATCACACTTAAAGATGTCAGCTTCTGGTCCACAAGGAAACGGGAAATAGGAGTTAATTTGTACCTTGACTCTTCGGAGTTTGCAAGGATAGCATCCATTACGAGACTTGGTGTGGCGGATGCGATGTCTTCTCACAACACGTGGGTTCTGGGCGGAGGTGTCGGAATACGCCGGATCATCCATTCTTTGAGTAACGTAAGTTTCTGAAGGAGTGAATATGCATGATTTGTAGGATTTGTGCAAAACTGGAGCCTATCTCTGTTAGCAGGCTAAGTAACATGGGAGTGGCGAAGCAGTCATTCTCAAACTTTGACAAACCCCGACCACACCAAACTTCAGTTCTTCTACTCCGTACAGATCAAAACATTATGAGTCCTTGACACTGCCATTTAGTCTCCTTGTTAATTTTTCAATAATGAGCATAATCAAAATGTTTTCAAATGGAAAAAGGGGTAAATATAGAATCTTAGCTTTTTACACTAAACTAGAGTTAGTTCGGACTCGTCTTCGAATTAGAAACTTCATGCTTATAGCCCCGGAGGCGCTTAAATTATTTTAGTTTTTGGTAGATCTTGTTGACCCACTCGTATTCTTATTCGAGTGCATCTATGGAGTATCTCCGGAGTATCTATGGAGTATATATACATGGGTAGGTGAATATGAACACCAACAGTTCATCTTGTTTCTAGTCTATCTCAATAATTGGATTCCATGAAGTAAATTGACAAAAATCTATATGTAAAATACAAAAAAAAAAAAAAAGATTCCTCGAAAAAAAAGAATGAATGAAAAAGAGAATCACACGCCACGATAGACTCGATTGGGTTTCACAGACTGCTCATTCTGGGTGCCAGTCAACTCGTACTCCGACACCACAGTCAAAAATCGAGTAATCCCAGATGGATGGACAACATTAAAGATAACCATGGCAATGAAAATGAGCAGTGAGTCAAAAACATACAAGTAGACCTCATGACGCAAAAGATAGCCCTTATTGCCCTGGATGTATTCCACCAGTCGAAAAAGCGAGCGCACCAGGATCAGCAAACTGGTCGCATAGAGAATGTTGAGATGTTTTCGCCAGGGAATCTCCCGATCGAAGGCGCGTGGGATAGGGTATTTGCGCAGCTTCCGGTCAAATAGGCCAGCGACAATAATGAAGAAGCCAAAGAATATGATTTGGACAAAAAGACCCACGATGATAATGCGCTCGCCGGTCTTCATGCCATCAAGAGACCCGCTACTCTGAATACCGCCGCCTGGATATATAGTCAGAGAATTCTGTTTCATATTTCAGTTATCTCCATAACACATACCAGTGCCTTGTAGAAGAAACGACATCACGTCGCCGGTCACGAAAATTTTGGTCAGCCACTTCTTTTTCAGAATAGAGTGTGATTCTGCATGCAGCACCAGAATAATCCGACCGAGCAACATGTATATTGAGGCCGCTAGGAGGGCTGGGGCGAGAAGCAGACAGAGTGTTTGCATTATGTAGGGACCCAGCGTCCAATCGGGACTTTGTTTGCTTGACAAGGCACGCCCTATATACCCGACAATTTCAACTACTTCTATTAGCACGAGTATAGGAAGCATATAAAGTAAGGGTGTACGTACAGAGACCACCTATCACGTAAGGAATAAAAAACCATGTCCTGGTTTTGAACATCTGGAAGATGTGGTAGAAGGTTGTGCCCATGAAAAGAATTGCAAAAAGGACGGCACCGCCCATGCTAGGGTCATAGCGATAAAAAGCGAAGGTGACTTCTTCATCAGAGCGGATCGAAGCCACGTTATCCTGCATTCTGAAATGATTGACCTGGTAATGGTTGTGATCAAGAGAATTTGGAAAGTATCGAGCCTATGTTGGGTCCGGGTGAGTAAGCTCAAGCTTCACTAGACCTTTGGCTAGATTTTTGGTAGGCATGACTTATATACTACTTCTAGAGAAATCAAAAATTGACAGTGAATATAAACATAATCTTTGGGTGGATTCGTATTAGACAGATGTTTGATATCTGAATAGCGCGAGACGGTCGAAAGCGAGTACAGGTGGGTCAGCGCCAAAACGAACCCTTAAAAATATTTCAAGGTTGGGCTTAGACCCTTAGGCAACTATGTACCAAGGTACATTACAAGGCTGAATATTTTATAGACAGACAATGGCTCCAACTGGATGGCGTGGCGACTCGGCAAAACCGAGAATGCGAATACGGGTGGGTCTACTACAGCCTCGTCGCATTCTAGTACCGATTAAGCTACTCCGTACATGGTAATGACATCTAGTACTACGGATCCATAGAGAAAACTTATGAAAAAAAGTCCCTGTTTTGTCCCGAATACGGTTACGACGCTTAAAGAGATCTGGCAAAGCCAAGTACATATACTGTACTGGCTCGCTCAGAAATAGATCATTACTTAACCCCTACAGCCGCTCATTTAAGGCAACAAATTTCCAACAATCTCCTTGATCATTTGAATTGCCTTTTGGTCGAAATATAATTGATTACTCTGACAGTTGATTATATTCGGTTACACTCATTCGCCATGGCTTCCAACACGGGTGCAGAGGTAGACTTCAAACTATACCGCTATACGCCCTCTCTCGTGGCTGCAATCCTTTTCACAATTCTGTTTGTGCTCGCAACCTTCTATCACCTTTATCAGGTTGTTCGTACCCGATCCTGGTACTTTATAGTATTCGTCATCGGAGGAGCCTGTAAGTTATCCCAGTTTCATTGTCGGGGCTTAAAAGTTCCCTCATGATATCTAGGAGAGTCCACATTGTTGCTAACAAGCATCACAGTTCAAATCATAGGTTACATTTGCCGCGCGCTAGCCCATAACAACAAAGAGAATATCCCACTTTACTCGATTAGCACGATCATGATCCTTCTTGCTCCTCCTCTCTATGCAGCCTCCATATACATGACTCTCGGTCGTCTCATTGTGCATTTGAACGCTGAGAAGTTAAGTATGGTGCCAGTGAAATGGCTTACCATAATTTTTGTCTCGGGAGACGTGATTGCATTTTTGATGCAAGCAGCAGGTAGCTAATCCGCTCCATCCACACGACTGTCCCGGTCAATGAAAGCTAATCGTGAATACAGGTGGAGGGATCATGGCAAGTGGAACTCTTTCCGCAATGACCACCGGCGAACATATCACGATTGGCGGTCTTGTCGTCCAATTGGTGTTCTTCAGCGTTTTCATTGTAGCTGCAACAATCTTTCACTGTCGGATTCGCAAAAGTCCCACCGAGAAGTGTTTTAACCCAGTACGCTCATCTGGAGTACTGCAAATGCCTACTTGGGAAATTGTCATGACTGGGCTATACGTGGCCAGCATTCTGATTCTCATTCGGTCCATTTTCCGACTCATTGAATATGCCCAGGGCAACAGTGGATACCTGATCAGCCACGAGGCGTTCCTATATGTCTTTGATTCAACGTTGATGCTATTCGCCATGGTTGCGATGAGTATTTTCCACCCATCGAAGATTCTTTCCCAATCAACGAAGCCACTGCGCTCTTCGAGACGGTCGCGTTCAGCAAGGAAGGAACAACCTTTGACAAGAGAAGAAGTCTAGATAATCACGCTTTTACAAGGTCGCGGGATTTTGCCACTCTTCTTGTGCATACAGGACATAGAATTCATTGAGTGAGCTGGAGGGTATTGTTTTCCGGTTTCAGTTAGGTAATTATATGTCTTGCGATGGATGGAAGATGTCAGCTTCTGGAACAAATTTACCGCAACTGCTACTACTGCTACTATAACATAGTATACACGGATAGGTTCGAAGTAGTCATTCCTGGTATCTGGAAACAAGGGAAGGGTTGGGAAGCAGCTGCATGATGGGTATAACCGTCATGCAGAAACATTATCTTATACATCATGCCTATCTACCCAATTTTCAAGAACTGAACAGGTAATTTTTTATTATCCTAGAACACATAGTTATCAAATAATTTCCCGAAATTAACGATATCATCGCCACCATTGATATTGTGGCACCGGATTAAATCCCCCGCAGTGGAGAATTTCCCCGACGCAAGAGATGATGAAAATCAACATCCCCCGCCATGCCTAGCGCGAAGAAGCCCCAATGCTGGTAAGAAACGGCCTAAATGATCCTAGATTTTTCTAAGACTTGACATCTGACTATATTCAGTGACCCATGCCGTGTACTTCACCATAAATGTAATACCGCCGCTTAATCCCCGAGAACCAGTTCTCCGCTAACTGTCGATAGGTGACGGAATCTTGCCACAATGCAGCCGATGTGTTCGCACTGGTCGCGAATGCACGCGAGGTAAAAAAGAAACCAAGTTCCGACAGGCAAAGGGTCGGACGACGCGCACCAAGTTTCCTAGCAACCAGGTTTGGCTTCGGCCACCACCTAGAGGTAGAATTATGTGCCCAATTTTTTTGAGATCGAATCTGACACCAGGCCCGTTGTCTAGTTGACTTTGTACTCGAAAGCGGAAGTGATCAAGTGGACAACTTGGCTGAGGCGACAACTAATGTCCTCTCGCCTGCTGGGAGTTTGCATAGTCCTGCCGACTCCATTCCTATACCAGAAAGGCTGTCTCCCGGGTCCTCACATACCGCCCCTTTGCCGCAATATGCGTTCTCAAACTACCAAGTACAGACGAGAAGTAATGTTGTTTCGCCAGCAGCTCAGGTGGTGGGTACACCTGAACGATCGAGCCAGCGGCCATGGCCACTAAGAGATCCCGAGGAGGCGCGTTTGTTGCAGCATTTTGTGGACAATGTTGCACGTTTCGTAAGTACTAATCCTTGTTTTTCGCAAGATGATCGGTAGTCTGATGGTACGGTATCAAGTTCGATTGCACGGATCGCTTGCAACATTTTGCCATTCATATCCCTTACAGAGCACGCCATTGCGAGACATTATTCAATGCAATATTGGCCATGTCGGCTCGTCATTTGAATCGCACAAAGGCCTTTGACCCTTTTGTGTCAGACCGCTATTACCAAGCATGTTTGGAGAAGTTGATCCCCGCGTTGGATGACCACGGTGTTACAATGGATGATGATCTGCTAGCTGCTACTGTCATTCTACGCTTGCTGGAAGAATTTGATGGTTAGCAGTAGATCCTTTCCCGCATGCGTCAAGAACCCTGCTAAGAATGACCATAGTCCCACTTGCCGGGTCCGATATTCGAGGCCACTCCTTCGGGACAAAGGCTTTCATACGGTCTCCATCATTGATGACCACCACCCCGAGTCTACGGCAGGCTGTCTACTGGAGTGGCCTACGCCAGGAGATTTACAATGCCCTTAGCCTCCACCAAGCTCCAGACATTGAGCTGAGGTCCTTGGACTGGAATTCCCACTCCAACTCGTTGGGCCCTGATGCAGGTGATTGCGCGTGGGCGAATCATGCCATCACCCATTGTGCACACGTTTTGGTGTTTTGTTTCGGGGAGGGAAACCGCTCACCGGCCGTGCATGCAGATCTTAAAGCACATAATCAGCAATGGAGTGAGACTCGGCCGGACTCTTTCGATCCATATTTTGCGAGTGGAGACGGGGAGGTGGGAAATGAATTCCCAGACATTCGTTACGGGTGTCCCTGGCATGGTACGTATCGGGTGATGTTTCAGGAAGCGCATCCTGCAGGCTATTTAGGACATGAACCGAGGCTAATCGCTTGGGACTATAGCAATCGGCAATCAATATATCGATCTTGCCCAGATTCTACTTTCTGTGCATGACCCAACTTTGCCTACAGCTGGACCTCTGCGCAGTCATCTGATCCAGGAGGCTGATGTAAGTCTCTGAGCAACTTTCCAATCTATATTAGGTACTTCGGCTGAGACTAACAGGAGGTTCAGGATCGTATCCGCAGGGGGTTTGGAAAGTATGTGGCGCTTCATTATCCAACGCCTCTGTGCCCCCAGCCATGGTTGTCGGGTGCATGGCCATCCATCTCTGTAAGCAACAGAATCCGTCACTATGTTTCCAGTATACGTTGTACGAAGTACATGAGGCTAACCAGGGTCACAGGCGGCGATCGCTTCACGGACCCACATGAACAGGACCATTTGATCCAGGTTCTTATCCAAACCGATAAACTCCACGGCTGGCCAACTCATGCACTCCAGCGCCAGCTTCGGGAGACATGGGGCATGCGTTGACGTTGTTACTATGTGTAGTAATAAAGCAAGTGCTTTGTAGGAGAGCGAGAAAAAGGACGAGAGGATGTCTCTCATGTCTCTCCAACCTGGGCCGCGTCTGCAGTGGAGGCACGGGTGCGGCAGATGATCGTCCCTATCTCACACGCAATCAGACACAGAAACCCCATACGGAGTACGGGGTAGGATCTCGTTTCATCCTGACACCCTCATCGCTGTCATCGCAGGCGTTTTACGAATTTTCCAACAGTGAGGATTCAAAACACCCAGGCTTGGCGGGGTTACTTCTTGCAACTACCCAAAAGGTAGAAACGTATCTACAATGGACTCCGTACGGAGGATGTACTTCTGCTTTCAGCCAAGTTCCAGGGTCTTGCATGACTTGTGGCGTTGAGTGGAAGATAGTAGCCAGTAATAGGAGGGGGTTCGGAGGGGAGGGAAATAGCCCCGCGGATCGCCAGTACGGGCGAAAAGCAACTGAGTCGATTGTTTTGTTTCTGTGTTCCAAGAATATAACAACCTTGGGGACTTATCGCCACATGATCTCATCAGGGGTTGTGTGTCCAGGTGTCAGGATAGTTTTTGTTTTGCAGGGAAAATTCATTCAAAATCCAAATCGAGAGATACCCCCTGGAGTTGATCCCCACTGATCGGAAGATTCCAAAGGTTGCAAGCCTCACAACATCACTTGGGCAATGTGATTGGTGGTGGTGGAGGATCAGACACTAGGTACGGACCAGTGGCATTGCAAGCTGAATATCTTTTTCTCTGATGCGCAAGTTGCCTGTGCAGTATTTTTGGGCTCCACTGTTTGGGTCAGGAGAGATGAATTTAGTGGAGATGGTAATGAGATAATATAGTAGAGGCACCTGGGCAGAACTGAAGAACTACTCCGTACTGTTTATCTACCTACAAAATCCTAAGTACTGTATCATATAGAGTGGTTTATAGTCTGTACAACATAATATAATATCATCTACAACATATTATAATTAATTTATTATACATAATCCTCGATAAAGTACCCCTGAACACAGTTACGCACCCCCTTTCCGCAATGGAGACGCTAACCGGACTAGCGTGTGTTTTTCCCGTGCACAAAGCACTTGGACGCTGCACATACAATTCTCCCTTTCCTTTGGATTCAATAGTCTTCCCCATATCTCAAGGGGATATGGCCCACTGAATTCGATGTTCACAACCCTTGATGGCTTCAATGAACGTGGGCTTCTTGCCCAGCATAAAATGCTCCAACTGTGGGTGTAATGTTGAGATCTCCGCTATGGGAGATCACACTTGCATTCGGAATGATTTCGGTAGGATTCAATTATTTGACACCCCAGGCCTATGTGCTGACTCTATAACTCCAGTCGCACCTATCCCATCACCGCCTCCATCGGCAGGATTCGATTCGGACCGATTCACAGAGGCAAAGGTTGGCCGGGGCCCTCCCCCGGCCATAGACCCCTCTGCTGCAAGTATGTCTCAAATCGCCATGTGGGGAGTTTGAAGAGATCCGCGACTAACCCCATATACAGATCGAGCATTCTTGCAGCCAAATATGCCGACACCAGCTAACAGTGTCCATCTATCACCTCTCCCTACCAGTCCGGCACCTCCATCTACAACGCGCCCGTCTCAGCACAGTCTGACCGATGATTCGGTCTTCTCATTCCCCATGCCGGGTAACAGATCACCAACTGAAGTGAGAACACCAAGTCCAATGATGACAGATCGGTCTGCGTTTAAATCACGAACACCAGTCTCGTCGCGGGAACAAGGGCCGGGTGTGATGCCGGAGAATATACGCCTTCCACCTAGCCCACTGCCACCTAAGTCCCCAGATGTGAGCCATCAGAGGGGAGAGTCGGCAGTGAGCAACAGCAGCTACCGGACATCTTTCGCCAGCAGTCGCTACGGCGATTCTACAAGGAGGTCGTCGACCAACAGCCTCTCGCGGGGGTTCCGGTCATTTATGGACGACATACCACCAGTGCCATTGGCACCTCTTCGCACATCCAACCATAATACTTCTCTCCCCCGTGATTCCAACGTCTCGGTGGTTTCATCCCGCATTAGCAAGGAAGAAGCCAGTGGATTCGACTTCGGTATTCCCGGAGGCCAAACCCCGACTACCGGACTACAAGATCTCCCAGAGGAAACCCCCTCGGCCCAATTGCAGGGCCATACCGAATACATCGCTTTCAACCCTGCGAACCTCCACCCGGCGACAGCGGCAACAGAGCCAGGCAGCGATGCGCCAAGGAAAAACTCTAACGCAAGTACGACAAGTGCATTCTCCGTCACTAGCTTCGCCCGGGCTCTCGGTCTAGATGACCAAATGAATAACTCCGAAAGCTCTGGCTCTGATTCATCACCTTCCGATGCCCGCAGTGGTAGTTCCATGTCCAGTCTTCCCTCCGATGCTAGCTTGAGCCGACACAAACCCACCGATCCGCTCAATCTAAGCCCTTTGGTTGAAGAACTGCCCGCCCGGACCCGACAGACGATTGTAGAAGTACCCGGCCGTGTACGGAGCACAATGGAAGATGTCCCTCCTATCCCGGCTGCTTTCTTCAGCCCGGATTCACCTACCGACCCTTCAATCAACCAAGGTGGTGTGTCATTGATTGCAGAGAGGAAAGCAGTACCACCGAGTCCGACCCCAGCACAACCAACACAATCTATCCCCCGAAAGCCACCACCACAACGCTCATTCACAGCACCGCTACCACCACAACAAACACCGACAACACCAACCCGGTCTGCGACACGTTCGAAGGGGAATTGTAAGGGTTGCAATGAGAAGATCACAGGAAAATCGATATCATCCTCGGATGGCCGTCTGACAGGTCGATACCACCGTGGCTGTTTCGTTTGCTTCGAGTGCCACTCTCCCTTCCAAACAGCCGATTTCTACGTCCTCAACAACAGACCCTTCTGCGCGCAACACTACCACGAGCGCAACGGGTCCCTTTGCGCCGGTTGCCACACGGGTATTGAGGGCCATTACCTGGAAACTGTCGAGCGGAACCCTGCACGCCCAGACCGCCGTCGATTCCACACCCAGTGTTTGCAGTGTCGTACATGCCACGTCCTGCTCAAGGGCGACTACTTCGAGTGGAATGGCGAAGTCTTCTGCGAAAGAGATGCTCGTCGAGCCGCTGCGGCTTACCACCCACCACCTCCTGGTCCTTCTGGTCCTCCTGGTCGTCGTCGCCCCACACTACCCTCGTCTCCCCTGGCCAAGTCCGGTCAATTCCCCCCCCGGTCCGTACCCTCCACACAGCGGAAGACCTGGACCCGGACCTGGGCCTGGACTTCACCCCGGTCCCCGATTCCCCCTGGTGGTGGAGGACGGTTCCCCGAACGACGGACTACTAAGCTCATGATGATCTGAGCAAATCCTCTTCCTCACTCTTCTTTCCTGTAAACCTTGGAAAGTCCTGAGTTGCACATTCCCCTTTTTTCCGCTCTCACGCGGATTTCATTCCCCACTTTCTTCATTCCTTTATATTGCGATATACCCCTCTGTGCTATCTCACCAATTTGATTTTCGCTGGCAATGGCGTTGATCGTCTGTTTCCCCCTTGAGTTGGGGCTATCCTTCATCTGTATCCATTGAAAACGCCCATTGGCAGGTCTTTTGATTTTTGGGCCATCATCCGGGGTGTATTTTGTTGATTTTTTTCCCTCATGCCGAAATGTTTCTAATGTATTTACTCTCTATCGGCACGGTGTTTGGTTGGCGGGTTGTCTTTTGTACAGGATTTACAACTATAATATAAGGGCCTGTGGCATTGACGCCAAAGATGACAGCTTTTGGAGCCAGAAATGGCTGCCTTTCCCACCCATAACTTTGGACATCCAGCCGTCCCTAGCCATCCCTTGGTCGCCTACTGCTCTATGCAACACCCACTATTCTACATCCGCCCCGCGACATCTACCCGGTTTATATTCTTGTGTATTTTAAGGCCCATCAGAAAAATTATAACCGCCACCATTTGCCGGGAACTCAGCCATTCTTCGGGGAATCCCTATCCAACGCTCTCGTCTCGGCTAGGTCGACGTGCACCTTGGCGAAACTCCGAGCTGAGACTTTTCGCTGGAACAGGATGCTTAGTTCTGCATAGGTCCGTCCGCTAGGTTCAGGAATACAGAAAAAGGTATAGATCAAAGATAAAACACAAGTGCCACCATAGAAAAAGCCTGCTTTCGCACCCCAATTCCATGCCGATGGGTTCAGCATGTAAGGAGTGATGATGTTGCTGATAATATTAAGGATATTATATGTCATACGCGCCAGCACGATTGACTTGCTGCGAAGACGGACAGAAGGGATCTCCGCCACAAGTGAGTAGCAGACTGGGCCGACAGTGACGTCGAAGAAAAACGTGTGCACAAGCAGCATCGATCCGACTGACCATGCAAGCCGGCTGCCACCGCTGCTGTGCGCCGGGGACGGGGATCGAGACTCGGCGACGCCCAGACCGCCAATCACCAGCAAGAGCACAGCTAAAATGGCCAGGCCGTAAAGGTACATAGTTCTTCTGCCGAACCGTGGTAGCAAAATCCAGGCTACGAACACGCCGACGATGCCGAGGGCATACTGTACGATGGACATGGTGAAGGCCTGCTCGGTCGGTAGTCCTGCTTGCTTGTAGAAGTAGGTGGAGTAGATGCGGAGGCTCGTCCCGGATAGGATTTGAATTCCCCAGCACCAACAAGCAATCGAGGTGCGACGTAGGTCGACGCCACGGAAGCAATCGATATAGCGAGTGCCTGTACCGGATTCCCGCTCTTTCTCTGTCGTCACCACCATTAGTGTGATTGCTTGATCGGCGTCAAACTCAATACGCCCGGGCGATGTCAATCTAAGGAGGGCCGCTTTAGCTTCCTCTAGGCGATTCTTGCGAACGAGCCACCAGGGCGATTCGGGGGCAAAGATCATTCCGATCATCAATGGAATTGGCCAGATCCATTGCAAAGCAAAAGGGATGCGATAGGACCATTGGTCGGATCGCGTGAGTACTCCTCGTAGAACGCCGGCGGAGAGTAGTTGTCCAAAAACCTATTGATATTCAGTCGGTTAGCTTTATTATTTCCATCCTTTTTCACCTTACCCCCCTTCACCGCACCGAAAGACGAAAAAAAAGGGGGAGGGAATTGTGTAAGCTTTACCCAGCAGAGGTTCACGTAGGTAGTGAGATAAGCACGAAGATGGGTCGGAGTGACTTCGGCGGCGTATGAAGTAGTCAATGTCTGGAAAATGCCCCAAGGAATGCCCATCAAGATCTGGCCAACTAACAATACTTCGATCCTTGGGGCAAAGAAGGGGATGAATATTGTAGCAGTTATGAAAGCCAATGAGGCCAGCATCGTATTGCAAAATCCGAATCGTTCCGATAAATAACCGTTGATGAGAAGGCCCATGAGCGATCCAACCGAAGCACCATTGGAGAGGCCAGCTTGCCAAGAAGCGCTGATTTCATATGTGCCATCCGGTAACTCCTGGCCGTATTTCTTCTGGAAAGCGGGTTGAGCGAAGAGGGAACCTATGAGCTTCATGTCGTAGCCTTCCATGATGAGGGCTAGAGACAGAAATATGGACCATGCGACTGCCTTGGGATATAGCTGGAGAGCTCGTAGAAAGGTGAGTTCATGTTCGCTGTGAGTGGCACGACGAGCTTCATTCAGAAGGGTGTCTTGATCGGTATCAGTCATCATTATCGGAAGCAATAGTACTAGGTAAGTCCTATAGTTCTAGAGCAATTAATCCGGGGAACGGGCCTCCACGTAAATTGGATGTGGAGAAAAACAAGCTATTTGTGGATTCCAACCTTGGGAGGTTGGTTAAAAGCAACCAATCAGATGGCCTCTGGAGGCATCAAGGTTGCCGTATTAGATGACTAACCCAGCTGGCGTTCCAGGGGTCTTGAGAAACGGAAAGAGAGAGATTGAAGGTAAAACTGATTTCGAATACTGCTATGTAGAGTAATGAAATTGGACATTTTTCCCTCTTGCACAACTCTCACAACATAGGGCCAACATGGAGAGGGCGGGTAAAGAGAAAGCAGCAAAGAGGTGGAAAGGACGAGATCGTTTCTTTTATGCCAACACTGAAGTACACCAAAACCCAAACGGCAAAACTAACTCGAAAAGGCAATGACATAAATGTCATTTTTCAAGTTTTCATCAACAACCAAAACATCATGCCTCATTATATCATTAACCATTAATATGCGATCGCACCTTCAAACTCGATGCTATACAACTATTTCGACTTGTGTTCCTCGAACTCGAGTCGCTCAACCGGTGTAAGATACATCCGTTTCAAGATCCAGCCAAAACAAATAACATAAAGCGTCACCAGGGTGATCTCAATCCGTTGTCTCAACGGGATCCGATCTAAATTCGGATTCGGGACTCCCAATACACCCGTATGTTCCTTCTTCCACCCTTCACAGACCTGCCGGAACCGACCAGGCTCGTCGGAGATGACCCCGTCGATCTCGTGTCGGATACACCAACGCATTAGATTCGGCGCGTTCACCGTCCAAACATAAACTTTACGTCGGGCTGCACGCGCTTCGTCTAAAAACCCTCGTCCGAGCGGACCCATCAGGATCATCTGGTTGACGTTGAAGGATACAAGCGGTACTTGGAGGAATTGGCGCGCATAGCTCAAATCCACACAGACCAGCGTCACTGGATACCGTGGCAGGTGCTTTGCTCGCGCGGGTAGGTATCGTGCAGACCAGCAGCCGAGAACGACGCGGTGGTGCCAGTCGGGGCCACTCGCGGGCATCGGGACTGACTCGATGATTTTGGAAATTCGTTCCATTATAGCGAAGGGTTCATTGGTGAGCTGGGAAGTGGGATTGGACGTTAGTGTTGTGAAAGAGACAATGTGCGAGTTGGGGAGAATAGCTTCGCTACCTTTATGTCTAGCAAGATCCAGAGATTCTCCCGACCCGGTTGTCTTAGGTATTCCAACACATCGACCAACCGGGGCATCGGTTCGTGGGGGGCTTGGAGGGTTCGCAGAGTTTTCAAATACTCCCAGTCGCAGTCGGCGACCTTTTTCTTGATTCCGTAACAGCGCATGAGGCTTGGGTCCTTGGATCGATGAGCGTTGTCCGAGATCGCGGCGTGGGAGGAACACCTACATGTGATAACACCACGACCCCATCGCGGGAGATGTGGAGGTCGAGCTCGAGGGCGTGAGCTCCGGCCCGGATTGCGCCATCGATTGACAGTAAAGTATTCTCAGGGTATTGTCCTTTGAATCCGCGGTGGGCGATAGCTTGAGGTAGACGTGGGGAGGCATGGGCAACCGGTGAGTGGACATGAGCTTGCGGGGAATGAGTTAGCTTGACAACACCTATACATAGGAGAGCTACGCACCTGGAACTTCATGTGAATGCTCTCCCGGGACTATAGGTATTGTGTCGCTCATTTTGAAAGGAGTTGTGAGAGTTGAATAAGTGAAGAAGTGACGAATGGAAATTGCATGATTAAACAGGGTCATCGGAGTTTGGCGGAGATAGGCCCCGCTGCACGGAGTGTTATGGACTGTGCATATTCGCCTGTCGGACTTTCGGTTCTCTTATGTGCGAGAAGGCCAGATGGTAAGAATCAGCACTTAGAGATATTCACTTCGTTCTCGACGGGGAGAAAGTTGCCCTGGTGCCCTGAAGAGACTCTGGAGGTCGAATAACTCGATTACTCAGCACCTCCAAGGCCTCCAGAATGGATCCATATCTCCAAATTTCTCCAACGTGATTTATAACCAGCTTCAGCCTTTAACTTGTTGCGTTCTTTTTTAATTGAACCTGTTCTTCAACCATAGTCGTGAAAAAAAAAAAAAAAATGGCCGTTAAACAATGGATCTCGCCCTTGAAGGGCATTGATAGTCTTAGCCAGACCGAAGCTCCAATGCCCACACCAGGGCCGAGCGAAGTATTGGTAGAGATCCGTGCTGTATCTCTGAACTACCGCGATGTGGAAGGTAAATCATCTGCCGAAAATATACGTGCAGGATTTATGCTGACCGAGTCTTTCAAAGTGACCAATGGCGAGTATAAACATCACAAAACCGCCGAGCAGGACGCCACCATCGTGCCCTGCTCGGACATGTGCGGGGTAGTGACGCAAATTGGATCTGGGGTGACCAAGTGGACAGTCGGCGACCGGGTGCTTTCGACTTTCCTGCCCGATCATCAAACCGGCCAGGTGACCGAGAAGGAACTTGCCAAGAGCCTGGGGCTGCCGCAGGATGGTGTCCTTGCAACTCACCGCGTGTTCCCTGACTATGGCCTCGTAAAAGCGCCTAGCTTCATGTCAGATGAGGAGGCGGCTACGCTTCCCATCGCTTCGGTCACGGCATGGATGTCTATCAATGGCATGCGACCGATAGGGCAGAGCGGCGGAAAGGACGAATACGTCTTGCTCCAGGGAACTGGTGGTGTGGCTATCGCCGGACTGCAGATTGCAAAGGCTGCCGGTGCAAAGGGTGGGTCATGGGATGGGATTCATTATTGTTGATAGGACGAAAATGCTGATCATGCAAACAGTTATTATCACCTCCTCGTCCGATGCCAAGTTGGACCAGGCCAAAGAGCTAGGTGCTGATTTTACTATCAACTACCGCACTAATCCCGACTGGGAAGTCGAAGTGATGAAGATCACTGAGAACCACGGCGTTGATATCGTCTTGGAAGTTGGCGGTGCCAAAACCTTGCGGAAGAGCTTTGATTGCATCGCTTTCGGAGGATTGATCAACTGCATTGGTTATGTCTCGGGCAAGATAGATGCCGATGAGGACCGCCTGAATGTCAACCTTTTGACTCTCCGTCGAACAGTGACACTGAGGGGAATTATCAACGGTCCCAAGGATCGATTTGAAGAAATGATCCGTTTCTACGAGACAAATCAGATTCACCCAGTAGTTAACCGGGTGTTTTCGTTTGCCGAGTCCAAAGAAGCATTCAAGTTCCTGGAAAGCGGCAGCCACTTTGGCAAGGTAGTCATCAAGGTTCAATAGAGCCTTAGAGCTCTGAAGATCATTGAATTTCATTGTCAAATTATCCCAGCAAAAAGTGAGAACATTCAGTTCTGATCATTTCCACTCGGCTTGAGTACTCCAGCTGCAATTCCCAGATCTTCTCCCAATTCCTTCCCACCAACCGTCAATTTCTTGCAATCCTGCAGCACAAACAGGAGACGGGCCCATTCCGTTTCGCTGGTGTTGCGCCATCCATGCATCGTAGCCCGCTGTACCGCAACATCCCCTCGGTTCATAATGACTGGCTCGCTATCTTCTAAGATCATTTCAACCTGCCCTTCGAGCACCACGCCGTAGTCGAGACTTTGCGTCCGGTGAACAACAACAGGGTTGTTGGGGGCGAAGTCCACAATGCGGCATACGGTTCCACCAGGGTTCACGAGGCCCAGCTGGTCTGACTTAGTCAAGGTCTCGTGGGCCTTGACGTCCGAATCATCGTTGAGATCAGGATGAAATTGGTTTGTGTAAACAACGTTGAATGCCATGTTGTTTTCTTGGAGTGATTCCCATTCGGCCGGTGTTGAGGAATGGATTATTGCCTTCCCGTTCTCATTGTGGCCTGTGATGTGTCGCGTCACGGGCCGCAGAGGCGATACTTGGCTGGTGTTGGAAGCCATTATTTATGGGATGCGAAGTGGGTTTGAGGTGCGAAGATGTAAAATCAGATCAATGTACAGAGCACGACGTGAGCACTCGGACGGTTTTACTTATATACCCTGATCCACGTGATGCGGGGCAGGCTGCATGTCAGGTCGGACAGCGGTGAGCTGGATGGGAATTATTATGGCTTGCGCGTATTCCTTCGGTGTGGGCGTGTCTGAAAGAAACCAACACGTCAGATCTGATTGAAAGATTGTCAGTTTGGTTGCCACTTTGGGCGATGCTTTGGGCGATGACTGCGGACCAAATGGCTCCTTGACAGAAATCAACATATACAGCAATGTATAGTATATGTTGTAGATAATAGATATATCATTCTCTAGTTAAAAATAACAATTCCCACTATTTTACGTCGGGTGGGGTCCAAGGTCATGGACCACCAGGAGGGTCACTGCCAGGTCTAGAGATAATATAGACTTGATACCCCCGAGCTTCTATATCTACTTTTATTACTGTATATTCCTCTAAAAGTCGGTATCACTAACCTAATGTACTCTCTTTGACCCGTTCTATACTTCCACTCTAAATAAGACCTTATATATTCGATAATATCGTTTTTCGCGCTGTCTAGCCTATTCAGTGATCGTCTTTGGAATTAATCTTGGGATTAGGTATGTACCTATGTAAATGGCCCTGGCAAGAATGAGTCATGCTGTAGGTATCAGCGAGATCAAGGCAAACGAAGCTTATAGACAGATGGATATTCATTTCGCATAACTAAATACAGATGTAATGTTTCAGCCTTCCTTTTACAAAAACCATCGGAACTGAGCAGATGCCGGTCCGTCCCTCATTCGCTCCGTTGGAATATCCCGCGCCCGCATCTTGACTCCATCATTACGATCGCGCCGCTTGTTATCCAGCCACATGTAGAGTGCCAGGCCAGCCGTCAAGCAAGCACCAGTAGCACCGAATGCAGCAACACTGATCAGCGCAGGTGTATACTTGGGTGCATCTTGCTTCCGGAACAAGTTGCTGCTCACCAAACCCATCAAGTTGGCCAATGGTACGCCGATACTTGTCAACAATACACGGCGACCCTCGTGGGCGATGTTATTATTATACCAGGTGCTGAGCATCACAGATGGCGCGGAAGTTCCCCAAGTCATCATGAAAGTTGCGAAGTAGGCGACTTGGATGTCACTCTGCACATCGTCGATGGATGCATAGATCATGAACCCGGAGAATGTGAGCAGGAAGCCCAGAACAATGAATGGCGATCGCAGTTTGGTCCAATCAGAGGAGAAGGCGAGTACCAGAAGCATCACTGCTCCTGTAACATTTGGCGCAACAGTGTATAGGTTGGTTTTGACAGTGGGATAACCCAATCCCCCGACGATTTGAGGCAAGAAGAGCGCGACACCCTGCAAAGGAACACCGAGACAGATTTCAATACACAAGAAGGCGTATGTAGTGGGGTGCTTGAAGATGCCAAGGGCCTCGCGGAAGCTGAACTCCTCGTTGACCACTGCACTAGAGTCGACTTGAATTCGGTGGAAAGCTAGCGCCTTCTCCTCCTCGGATAAGAATTTCGCTTCGGCGGCGCTCCGTGGAAGATAGAAGAAAGCAAATATAGCGAAGAGAACAGTGACACCGCCCTCGATAATGAACAGGTAGCGCCAATTGGGAATATGAGACCCTTTGATCTGGAACACTCCAAACGCAATAAGTCCAGAGAAAGCGTTTGCGATGTTCGATGCAGCATAGAAAATAGCCAGGCGACGAGCCAGCTCGCCGCGACGGTAGAAGGTAGTCAAGTAGTAGATGACCAGAGGGAAGAATGCAGCCTCGGACATACCCAGGAACCAGCGCAAGGCGAACATGCCACTAAAATTGTAGGCGGCTGAAGAGAGCATCGTCAACGAACCAAATGAGAACATTAGGATTGGAAGCACGCGCGCGGGACTGAATTTCTTTCCAAGCATTGAGAAGGGCGGTGCAAAGATCACGAATGGAACAAAGAAGATCGATAATAGGAGATTGTATTCATTCGGCTTGAAGTTCAAGTCTAACCATTCAATTAGTTTAAAGTGCCTGCCGTTTGGATCGAGGATCTCACATACCCTTGCTCATTCCATCAGTTTCTGCATTTCCTAGATTTCCTTTGTCCAGGGCATTGAATAGGTCTGTCGCTAGTCAGGTATCCGCATGACCGACATGAATTGAGCAAACTTACACATAACCGCTAGGATAGGGAGCAGGCGATAGTCAAACTTCCGACAGAGACGTCGTTCAGCCTTGTGGTCGACAACTCGGGTCACCTCGTCTACCACGCCTGGGATAGAGCCATAGCCTTTCAGCGTATTTGGCTCTTCAACGGTGCCCAATATGTCCGTTTTCTTCACTGTGCCATCAGGCGACGATGCGCGCGCTGAACTCGACATGTTGTATCCAAGGTGTTATAGGCAAAGAAATACAGAAAGGCCAAGTCGGTGCGCTACCTGTCAAAGTTCCAAATTTTAAAGCTACAGATGCGGGCATCCTCTTATCAAATGCGAGGTAACATCCCTTGCTCTACTAGATAAGGAGAATGTTGCATCGCCCATGCATGAATATCACCCCCCACGTTTCTCCGCATCATGGAAAGGTTTGGCTTAACAGGCAAAGATCGCCCTGAGATGGCCGCATTCGGCATTTTGGGCTGTTTAGAGGCTTATCTGCGGGGGAAAGAGGTAAGTACTTCCCGCGAGCTTGATTTGAATCCTATATCGCAGACAGTCTATCCTTGGATC